TTATGAACATTTGTTCACCCTATGCTTCCTCTGGGGCAGGCTGAGCCCCAGAGTTGCTCTGGGCTGCTTCCAGAGGAGCTCTCAGCAGGCAAATGTCTGCAGTGTGGTTAGGGCCAGGGAGTGCTCCAGCTTCAGCAAATCAGGAATTCCCTTTGGGAGGCAAATGGAAGAATAGGGCAGGAATTTCCAACATGCAGATAAAAGACCATATTAATAAAATGTAAATAATAGAGTGTTCGTTCATTTCAGCGTAGCTCTTGGAAGATTTCCCAGGATGTCTTTAAAGAGCTCCTTGTTAAATAGTGGGATGTTTTTTCTCCACAGGTAGGTGTTAACATAAAAACATCTAATTTCCTTCACTTGAAGAATACTATAGAATTGCTGGGTCTGGAGATTACTGTGGAGGCTTTTGGGAAATTGCAGAATCATAGAATCATCAAGGTTGGAAAAGACCTCCAAGAACATCCAGTCCAACCATCCACCCACCATCACCATTTCCCACTAAACCATGTCCCTCAGTACAGCATCTACACATTTCTTGAACACCTCCAGGGATGTTGACTCCACCACTGGGCAGCCCATTCCAGCACCTGAGCACTTTCTGGGAGAAAAAAATTTTCCTACCATCCAACCTGAATCTACCCTAGTGCAAGTTGAGGCTATTCCTTCTGATCCTACTGCTAGTTATGCAGGAGAAGAGGCCAGCCCCCACCTTGTCCCACCCCTGGTCCTCCCACGCTGCCTGACATCTCAACTATATTCACGTAGGTCTATGGCTGCAGTTGTCCTGCAGCAAGTAGCTCAGCACACAGGTTTGCCTGTGGGCCCACACCAGGGAAATGACAAATGTGGCTGCAGTTCTCTTGAAGCCTTTATGTCATCAGTAGTGAAGCTGGAGCTTTCTGTTCTTCAAATCATACTTCTTAAAATACTGTCTGGAATAAGGATAATGTTGTTTGCCTCGATCTGAGGGACTCCACCATTATTTTCTAGTTCAAGTGTTCTGTTGCAGAAATTAACATATATCTATTTATTACAGTTTTTATTTAATTCAGTGTCTTTTGATTAGCTAGACGTTTTCTCTGTAGACTCTAGAACTGGAGCAACAAATGTAATGAAGTCTAAGAAACAAATCATAGAATGGCTTAGGTTGGAGGGAACCTCCAAGATCCTCTAGTTCCAACCACCTGCCATGGGCTGGTTTGGCAAACAGCTCAGGCTGTGCAGGATCTCATCCAGCCTGGCCTTGAATGCCTCAAGATGGGGCATCCACAGCTTCTGCTGATGCAGCCCAGGATACCACTGGCCTCCCGGGCTGCAAGTGCACACTGTTAGCTCACATCCAGCATTTTTGTTCACCAGCACACCTCAGTCCTTCTACACACATCTGGGATTGCACCACCCAAGTGCGACACCTTGCAGTTGGCCTTGTTGAGCCTCGTTAGTCTAGTGTTAAATGGGAGGGAGGTTGGCGGCCCTGCATGTGGCAGGGGGGTTGGAGATTCATGATCCTTGAGGTCCATTCCAACCCTGGCCATTCCGTGATTAGGTTCTTCAACACTTACTTTTCAAGCCTGTCCATGTCCCTGTGGATGACATCTTTTCCTTCCATTGTTTCAACTGCATCGCTCAGCTTGGTGGCATCAGCAAACTTGCTGAGGGTGCACTTGATTGCTTCTGTGCTTAGCCATCCTCTGATATGCCACTCCATTGAGCCTATTTGCTGTTTTGACCTTACCTTAGCTAGAATTTGAGTTTTCATGGTGGATGAACAGGACAGACCCTGCCCAAAGCACTGCTTTAACTATGTGGAAAACATTTTACCAGGCTGTGTGTTTATTAATAAGCTGATTTTTGTAAGGAGATGGAGCACCATGTCTGAGCTCTTGTGGCAGGGCTAGCTAATGATATTGGACAGCAAGCAACTGTCACTTTTGCTAAACCTGTCATATTACAGATAAGCTGATTACAGCATGCAATTGGGGTGGGCAGAATGACAGTCTAATCCATCTTAGGGCTCTACCCAAAGTCAAATCTTGAGTCTGCTGTCCTAAAGTATATGGTTGACCCCTGAAAACCGTTGTCTCAGAGGCACAACGAGAGCTAAGGAGCAGAACAGTCATCAGCTTTGCTGAATAAACTCTTATCAGTGTATCTGCTTGAGGGCTTGTAGACTCTCACCCCCGAGCAATGATAAAGTAGGATTTGTGAGGAACAGAAGTAACACAGAATGTATCTGAAAGCATGTCTTTGTACATTGCTTGGAAATGCAGCACAGTATATGAGTGAGCCACCTGAGGGGCTGAAACAGTCCTGTATGGGAATCACAAATGCTTTTAGGTTCAGCTGGTATTGTGTCATTTGGCCAAGGCATGTAGCAGATCCTTGAATCTGGGTAGATTAATAATTCCACACGTGGAGGTGTACTTAATGTTACACTGTTCAGGTCAGTTGCTGAATTTCAGCTCCCTGATATTTGGCAACCTTTGCTCTACAGCAGTGTTTTTGTAGATGTATACATTAGATACTAGATATGATTTCCTCAGCTGATGCTGTGATATATGGGGCACAGTGGCTCAGCTGTATGGAACAATAACACAGATGCTATGAATGGTTTCTTCTTCAGATCTTTATATCCATTCCTAACAAATTTTTCTCAGTGGTGTTTAGTAGAGTTGAAGAATATTTTCATTCTCTTCCTCTTGAACTGTCCTTTTGTCTGTGCATTGCACAGCACGCATGCGGTGTTTGCATATACTACAATCTTTACTGCAGATATCCAAGATCCACGTGAGGTGAGAATGCTGTGTGAGGCTGAGACAGTAGATGGCATGTAGAGTTTGAGGGCTGTTGATCACAGAGTACTGTCTCACAGTGCTTCACCCTCTGCAGGTTTGCAGATGACACCGAACTGAGTGGTACAGCTGATCTAGCAGAAGGAAGGGATGACATCCAGAGAGACCTTGATAAACTCAAAATGTGGGCTCATGAGAACCTAATGAGGTTCAACAAGGCCAAATGCAAGGTGTCGCACTTGGCTTGGTACAATCCCAGATACGAGTACAGATTGAGAGAGGAAATCCTTGTTAGCAGCCCTGCAGAGAAGGACTTGGGGATCCTGGTGGGTGAAAATTTACCATGAGCCAGCAGTGTGCACTCACAGCCCAGGAGGCCAGTAGTAGCCTGGGCTGCATCAGCAGAGGGCTGGCAGCAGGCAGGGAGGGGATTGTCCTCATCTGCTCTGCCCTCATGAAGCCCCATCTGGAGTACTGTGTCCATGTCTGGGGTCCCCAGCACAAGATGGACATGGGGCTGTTGGAGAGGGTCCAGAGGAGGGTCAAAAAGGAAGATCACCTCTCTTATGAAGACAGAATCATAGAATGGCCTGGGTTGGAAAGGCCCACAGTGATCATCTGCTTTCAACCCCCTGCTGTGTGCAGGGTCGCCAACCAGCAGACCAGGCTGCCCAGAGCCACGTCCAGCCTGGCCTTGAATGCCTCCAGGGATGGGGCATCCACAGCCTGCTTGGGCAACCTGTTCCAGTGCCTCACCTCCCTGTGTGACAAACTTCCTCCTCAGATCCAACCTAAACCTCCCCTGTGTCAGTTGAAAACCACTCCTTGTCCTGTCACTATCCACCCCATAAACAGCCATTCTCCCTCCTGTTTGTACGCTCCCTTCGAGTACTGGAAAGCCACAATAAAGTCTCCCTGGATCCTTCTCCAAGCTAAACAAGCTCTGTTCCTTCAGCCTTTCTTCATGGGAGAGCTGCTTCAGCCCTCTGGTCATCACAGTGCCCGCCCTCCCTTTCTGTGTCCACCCTGGAAGGTGGTACCTACAGCCTGTCTCTGGTTCTCAGTGCCCAGTCGACAGAAATGCAATACCTGTGAGCAGAGCGCATGGAGCTGCAGTCAGCTGTTCTACTCAAAAACTTGATCAGGTCTCTGGTACCGGAGAACAACATCCCCCGCTCCACAGTCACGCCTCACTCGCGCCATGGCTGCTTGGCAGGACGTGCATGCGTGAGCAGCTGCTCTCAAGGGTGAAGCACAGCAGGAGTAAAACTTGGTCTAAACTCTCTGAGCAGCACCTCGAGAGCTCCCTGAGAGCTGCTGAGATGGCCATCAAGCCCGAGTGACACCTTGGTTTGTGGGAAACCGAGGCAGCCCCTCTTCTGTGGGGGCAGCCCAGGCAAGCCAAAAGGCTGGGCACCCACAGATTAGCTGCTGTCTTCCCACGGAGGAAATACACACCCATAAATAGTGGAGTTCCTGGCAACCGTCGGCGTGTAGTTTGGCTCCCATGCAGACCTGGAAATTGCCTCTGCCATTAGCAGCAGAGCATTTGTGCCAAAAGCAGGCAGAGGACGTCTTCTTCAGCGGCTGGGTAGAAGCACAGGAAAGTCCTAGCAAACGCAGCCTCATCAAGGTTCTGGTGTGTTTTGTGAGCAGAAGCGGAGCAGAGGGGCCACTCTCAAGCAAGTCACTGCTGTTGCCCGACTGCACAGCCCTCAGGCACTGCCCGCGTCTCCTCTCCCCTCCTGCTCTCTGCCTCCTGCTCCCTTCTTCTGAATCCACTCCTGGTGACCCCCAGCTTACAACAAGGAAATGCCTCTCTGTTTGCATTGCTACCATTTTTGGTTAAAATCACGGGAGCGCAACTCAAAGAAGTTCACAAAGCTGTTTCTGCTGAAAGAGCAGGCTCCCCTTCCGCACCGCCCCAAGCTGGAAAGCCCACCTTGAGAAACCATTTCCTGCACCGTCATAATCAAAAACTAAATCTTGACACCCAGCCGAGGTGTCCTGTAATTAGAGGTGGTACAAATCACTCTCTGGTGCCATTTTGCGTAGTTCTGATTTTAATACAATCAATATCTTGCAGAAAATAGCTGTGGGTCTCCAAAGTGATTATTTGCTCCAGAACAGTCACATTTAAATCTTATCATCAGACAGTCCCTGTTCTGACAACTCAAGAGCAGAAACAGGTAAATATATATATATGTATATATATTCAGTGCTGGCAGTTCTCCCAGTGCGTATGCATGACGAGCTGGGACACCCAGGAGCAGCGCAGACCCGTCGGACCACGTTGACATCGCAGTCATAGTGAGGCACTGTCACACTTTGTCACAGTGCCTGGGTGGACCCTCAGCCCCACAGGGCACCTGTGGAACCACTGCAGGTTTGTGAAGGTCGACTGCAGGCACGCTTTCGTCCTATGCGGACCAGCTAAGATGCCAAACACTGACAAAGACAAGAAGCTACTCCACAAGCTGGGCTTCACGCTGGGGGAGACCTTAGGAGAGGGTGCGTTCTCCACGGTGAGGGCGGCCACCTCCCCCAAGTACACGGTCCCCCTAGCTATCAAGATGGTGGACAAGCGAAGGGCCTCTCCAGAATTTGTGGAGAAGTTTCTGCCCCGGGAGCTCTCCATCCTGCGTGAGCTGGATCATCCCAACATCGTGCTCATCTTTGAGATCTTTGAGCTGACCGACGGCATGGTCTACATCGTGATGGAGTCGGCAGCCTTCGACCTGCAGCAGCGGCTGCAGCAGCTGGGCAAGCTGCCCTGCGTCCCCGACGCCCGGGACATCTTTGTGCAGGTGGTGGGGGCCGTGCACTGCCTCCACGACCGCAACATCGTGCATCGTGACCTCAAGTGTGAGAACATACTGCTCAGTGCTGATGGCCGCCAGGCCAAGATTGCTGATTTTAGCCTCAGCAAGGAAATGAGCAGCTACCCAGAACTGAGCAGCACCTTCTGCGGAACAGAAGCCTACATGGCCCCGGAGATGTGGCTGCATTACCCCCACGATGCCAAGAAGTTGGACATCTGGAGCCTGGGGGTGGTCCTTCTTGCCATGGTGACTGGCAGCTTGCCCTTCCACGGCTGCCTCTGCAACACCATCCAGCATCAGAAGGATGGGGTCCAGCACCTGAGGGGGGTGTCCGCGCTGCCGGAGCCCTGCCAGGCCCTGCTTGTCCAGCTGCTGCAGTTCTTACCATCCTCCCGGCCCAGCGTGGCGCAGGTGGCCAGCAGCAGCTGGCTGAAGGTGGATATCTAAGGGGAATCCTCCCCAGAGAATGTGCCAGGACAGCCAGCTTTTGGTGCAATAAATGCTGTTGAAGAAAAGCTCTTGAGCAGTTTGACTAGCACGGCGTGGGTGGGATTGAACTTCAAGTGCTGGCAAGACTTGGTCAAGAACTTGGTCAAACCCCTTCACAAAGCAGATGAATAAACCTGCCATCGGTTAGGCTTCAGGCTCTGGTCGCTGTATTGAGTGAGGGGTTAGAGCACACCACGGAGCTGCTCGCATAGCAGTGGCTGTCTGAGCAAATAAGGGGGCCAGGCCCAAGCTCTCCCACTGATCCAGCTTTGGTAGCCACCGGCCTGTACTGAGCTTTAGATCACACCGGAATACTCAAAAACAAACAAACAAACAAAAACCCTCACAGCAGAATGTTTACAAGCAATCCAACAGCATTACCGACCCAGAAGTTCTGGGGTGGCTTTCAGATCCATGCCTTAACTTCAACCACGTCTTGCAGGCATGGAATAATGACAGCATTCAAAGTCTCTGCCCAGAGGTACCGGATGAGAAAGAAACATCCTGGCCACAGAGGCAATCAGCCTAGCAATCACGGTCACCCCCACGGCTCTGTCTTTTCAGGTGCTTCAGTGGTGAAGAACAGAAGTCAGCAGTAGCCAAAATGTAATTGCCAGATTACATTGCATTGCTTGCTGTCCCATGTTTTCACGGGTCTATGCTTACCCTTGCAAATTCTAACTCACTGCAAAGTCTGTGTGTCTGCAAGAGTAAAAACGGCTGTCGTCTTGGGAGCCCAAGGTTCCTTGTCCAGGCAGAGCCAGCTGTGGGAGCAAGCGTGGCACTTGGGGCTTGCTTGGGATTTTGCCTGGAGGAAAGCTGGGAATCTCCAGGAGTGGAGCAAGCACAGCTGATGGGGGCAACCATGTCATGGGGTGTGAGTGCCCTCTGGTCTGTGCAGAATGTAGTTAGGCAATTTGGATCCCTTATTCAGAGCTGGGAGAGAGCCTTCTGCTTTTTTATGTTCCTATGAGTTCTTATGCCCAGGTCTTGTGAATTCTTGAGATAAGGAGTTGGCGAGAGAATTCAAACGTCTTTCTGGGGTGTTAAATGTTGGTGGATTTATTATCAAGCAAGAGCTACAATCTGATTGAAGGTCTGAAAACCAGAGAAGTTGTAAAGCACAGTTGTAGAATCAGGTAGGATTACAGAATGGCTTGGGTTGGAAGGGACCTGACTGAGGCAGGTGAGGGCATATCTCACTCCCTCAGGCGGAGGGAGGGGCCCAGTTAAATCGACCTGCCACGGGTGGAGAGGATTGTGTCCTCTAGCAAGATGGGCTGTTGTCTCAGGCCAAGGTCTTGGTCTCATCTTGGAGCCAGCGTCGCAGTCTCGGCATGCCTGGGCGAGATCAGCTCTGAGAAGTCGCCTGGTACTGGTGGCCCGACACCGCTACTCTTCCTGCCTTGTGATGCAGCAGCAGCAGCAAACCCTGAGCAGCCGCCCAAGCGCCCTCCTGAGCAGATTGCGCCGTGGCCGGCGCTCACCGCGACTCGCGCCAGAAGACGGGAGAGATTCTTGTTGGCCAGGGGCTTCAGGCACAAAGACCTCTTCCGTTCCTCTGCCGCTAGAGACAGAGGCTGCTGCTGGCAGATCAGGCAGCTCGCGGGTGCCGCTGGCAGATGTTGGTGCCTCAGCTGCGGGCACGTGCTGTGCTGCGGCTGCCTGAGCCACTGCCTGCTCTGGTGGCAAGGTGGGCACGCTGGCCATGTCTCCCTGCGGGACCCCATTGCCGGGCAGTGTCTCATTGTCTTCCAGCTTGTTCTCCTGCAAGAGAAGGCAAGAAGAAAGAAGTGAGTTGGGACATTTCCCTGTGTTGCCCTCCATGGCTCTGCTGCAAATGCTCCTGCAACCTGTCCTGGTGGCACAGCTGCATGCTGCCACCCTGCTCCACAGAGCTGGCTGGGAAGAGAGCAGCTCCTCATGTGGCACCTGCTGGGCCTGGGGGCTCCCTGCAGCAGCCCCCGCCATGCCCCGACAGCTGACCACGCTCGGTGCGGCTCAGTCTGACAGGGGGTCGGCCCACCTGTCTCCTCCAGCACTTCCCGACGCCTGGACTCACCATGGCCTGGGCTGTGTCCTGCAGAGGAATGGCACAGGCTGTTGGCTCATGCAGACACGGCCTCTGGCTCTCATCCCTCGCCGCTGGGCTCTGTTCGCTCAGGAGAGATGAAGCTGGAGCGTTCTCCTCTTCCGCTGTTGGTGTGGATGCTGGCATCCCATGGCCATCGTGCGTATCACCTCCAGCCTTGGCATCTGCGTGCCTTGAGGCAGGAAGAGCCGTGCTCTGTGCCTGGCCATCTGACTCTCCCGAAGCCTCTGTGTCCGTGATGCTGGAAGAGCCGGGCGTTTGCTGAGGAGAAGCCTGCGGGTCCCGGATGAAGGCTGCGATCCTGGGGTTGACCCAGTGGCTTATGATCTTTGGCTCTTCATCATCAGCTTCTTCCAGCTCATCCTCCTTTGCCGTGCCCTGTGGCTCGTGCTCTGGAACACACGGGAGTTTCTGCCTTGCTCTCTGCTTCCTGCTGTTCCTCGCCTGCCTTTTTATTTCCCAGTATTCGTCTAGGCTGTGCCCGGTACAGGCCGCACAACTTTTAGCCATCTTTGTCAGAAGCTTTGTGTCCTCTGACAGGATCTTTCGACATGGCTTTCGAGTCTCATGGTGCAGCCACAGCCTAGCGCCCATCTCTTGGCACCGGATGCACGGCTTCATGGCGGCTGGGTACCGATAGGCCCTTGGCCCTCCATGGTGCCCTGACTTGTAGCCCCAGCGTGAGAAAGCGCGTGCAGCTTCTCTGTGGGCAGCCATTGCTGCTGTAAGCTCTTCGGGATCAGGCCCAAATCTGTGTGCCGCCTTCTGGGCCTCGTCTGCTTTTGCTGCTCCCGCTGCTTGCTGAGCTTGTGTCAGGTCCTGCTGCGTGATGCGTACAGCCACAGCTTCTGTTGGGACTTGTGGCACGGGGGATTGCACAGTGTTCTCCACTGCTGCGTCAGGGATGGCTGGGCTCGGTGGAGCAGTTTTCTGTTTGCCCGATCCTGCTGCTTCATCCTGTTTGCCGAGGCTGTCCAGAGCAGTTGCGCAAAGCTCCTGATGGCCAGGGGCTTCAGGTACAAAGACCTTTTCCCTTCCACTGCAGCTAGAGACAGAGGCTGCTGCTGGCAGATCAGGCAGCTCGCGGGTGCCGCTGGCAGATGTTGGTGCCTCAGCTGCGGGCACGTGCTGTGCTGCGGCTGCCTGAGCCACTGCCTGCTCTGGCGGAGGTGGCAAGGTGGGCACGCTGGCCGTGTCTCCCTGCAAGACGCTTCCACAGGACAGCGTCTCATTGCCTTCCGCATCGTTTGCCTGCAAGAGAAGGCAAGGAGAAAGGCCGAGTTACTTTGGGCTCTTCCGTGTGTTGCCTTCCATGGCCCTGCTGCAAATGCTCCTGCAACCTGTCCTGGTGGCGCAGCTGCATGGGCCGCTGCCATCCCAGAGCTGGCTGGGAAGAGAGCAGCTCCTCTCTCTCCTGGCTCAGTCTGACATGGAGACGGCCCGGCCGTCTCCTCTAGCAAGTCCTGCTGTTTGCCAGCTGCCTGCTTGTCAGCACCTGGTCTCCCTGGGTCTCCCTACCTGTGCCTGGTGGCTGCCGTGTGGAGCCGGCAGCGGCGGCAGCCTGTCCTCTCGGAGGGAGGATTCTGGGCTCTGGCTGCCCGCTGTCATTGTGTGAGGTGGCCTGCGGATCACCTGCGGGGAACAGAAGGAGAGGGATTGAGCGCCCACACTGGCCCGACAGCACCCGCTGTGCCACCGGGCCCACTGGGCCCACTGGGCCTGGGCCTGGGCTTTGCCTGCCCCATGGATGGCAGAGCTGAGCGTGGCCAAGCTGCTCTCTGCCCCTCGTCTCCAAGCTTCCAGGGCCACGTGGGCCTTGGCCTTCCCAGGCATCGTTGGCTCTGTGTGGAGATGCTCCCAGGTGTCAGGAAGCGCAGTGCTCAGGCTGTAAGGTGCTCAGGGCCAGCTGGCCGGCTCTCCCCAGCACCGCGTCCCTCCTCCTGCTGCTCTCCACACCATCCCGTCATGCTGCTGGTCTCTCCCTCACTCCCTGAGCCTCACCTCATCCTGCTCCTGTCCGCTCGGCAGCCCTTGGTTGGGCTGAGAGTGAGCCTTAGGCTCCTCTTCCTTCAGCATCTCCATGTCCGGAGACCAGAGAAAAGCACCAAGTCGAGCTGCTGCCTCCTGACAGAGCTGCTCTCCTCGGAGTGAGCACCCGAGGGCTCTGGCCCTGCCAGGAGCTGCGGTTACCCGTCCACATCACAATGGCCTCTGGGCGTGGTGCCGCCCAGGCATCACAAAGGCCTGGCTGTGGCTGTGGGCCCACAGAGGCCCATGTGCTCGCAGCTGCCCTAGGGATAGCAGCTGGCGTGCCCACAGGGAGGCCCGGGTCAGCAGGGTCCCCTGTGTTCTTCTGCCGTGCCTCCCTTTGCTCAGCCCCGTGCTCCTCTGTGGGCTCTCCCGTGCCTCCGACACCCCCATGTGCTGGGCACCCGAGACTGGGCACAGCTCTCTCAAGGCCGCCCGTGCTGGTGAAGTCTTTCCACCTAAAGCATGTCCTGTACCACCAGGGTGCTGCCCTCGTCCAGCAGTGCCCCTCCAGTCACACTCCATTCCTGTTTTTGGAGCTGCTGGTTCCCACTGTCCCACAAGGGGGGTCTGCCCCCATGTCTGGACTAGCATCCACCTTCTCAAGCCATCTCTTGCTAAAGAATCGTAGAATGGCCTGGGTTGGAAAGGCCCACAGTGATCATCTGCTTTCAACTCCCTGCTGTGTGCAGGGTCGCCAACCAGCAGACCAGGCTGCCCAGAGCCACGTCCAGCCTGGCCTTGAATGCCTCCAGGGATGGGGCATCCACAGCCTGCTTGGGCAACCTGTTCCAGTGCCTCACCTCCCTCTGTGTGACAAACTTCCTCCTGAGATCCA